CCGTGGCAGCTGTGCTTTTTCTATTTTAGGGTTTTTTGTACTAGGGAGAACAGTAGGAAGGCTAAACAGCTGTTTCTTAGTGCTGGAAAAGTCAAAGGCTTTTGTTAAATTAATAAATCCTATATAAAATAAATAATTTTAGGCTGCCCAGGGAAGTGGATGAGTCCCCATCCCTGGAGGTATTTAAAAGACGTGTAGATGTGGTGCTCAGGGACACGGTTTAGTGGTGGGCTTGGCAGTGCTGGGTTTATGGTTGGACTTGATGATCTTAAGGGTCTTTTCCGACCTAAATGATTCTGCAATGATTATTATTATTATTATTATGATGGCTGTTGTATAATGCTTGTTACTGTATGCATTGAGAAAGAGAAAATAAAACTGTCATCTCTACAAGCTTCCTATTTTCTGTTTCCCTGAAGTGGCTAAGAAGCATAAAGGGAACCTAACCACCAAAAAAGGGCTAATGTACAATTAAATGGACTCTAAAGAGATTTTTAATTTTTCCAAGTCTGCTTTCCTTCATCTTCAATTCATTACGATATGAAGCCTTGGCAGATCCCACCTCTTCCCCCAATCCTAGTCATTTAAAAAGAAAAAGAATATTGCTACTTTTAAATATTTTTGCCTTTGGGCATGAAGTCCCTTTCATCCTCCTGGAGATTTCAGCAACTCCATGGCTTCCCAGAACTCTGAAATAAGCTTCGCATGTGATTTGTAACCTTTCTGGTTTGATTTCAAGGCTCTTCTCTTCGAAAAGAGTGATCCCACTCGGAGCTGAGCAGCAAGCCTGCAGAGGGGATAGCAACCGCAGTACGGCCCTGAGTGGTCGTGGGATGGGAAGCCGGAGCCCGGTGGCTCTGCGGGCTGGGCTCGGCCGCGCGTGCCCGGGGTTAGCCGATGACTGCAGTGTCTGTGCATGTTCAGAATGCGCCCGCGGAGGCACGGCGCCTTCCTGCTGCACAGCTGTGGGCTGGGCTGGGCCGAGGAGAGCTCCGCACGGATCTTCCCTGCCCTCTCGCTTGTGACCGGAGCCGTCGCTCCTTTTTGCTTTGCCTCGCTCCTCGGTGAAGAGGAATCAATGAGATGGGGTTGTGCCTCTTAAACTTGGGCTGTTACGACGTCGTGTCTTGGTGAGCGAAGGGCTGGTTTGTTGAAGGCTGGTTTACCTCTGTCCATCCTTGGCCACCTGGCTTTATTTTTCCAGGCACATATTAAGAGGCCTTGTGTCACATAGGTTACCCTCTGAACACTTGCTCACGTGCATGTGCTAAATATATATTAGATCTGTGTAATAAGATGTACTATTTATCTCCAAGGTGAAATTTTGAAAGGGAGGATACGCAGTGGTAGTGCCTCACTGAAAGGAAATTATTTGATATTGTTAAAGCCCTTCTTTAAAAGGTACATATAATATGAGTCTGTGTCTTTAGAAAGAAAATTGAGACTCTTACGGTGTATATATCTGTTTACTTTTTTATGCTTTTTAAAATTACTTCAATTTGGTATTTGCTGACCATGTCACATTGTTAACATAAGCATTTTTTCAAGTCAAAGGTAGTTGAAGAAACTGTTACTGTAGTGCCAATAAGAAAAAGTGGCCAAGTGCCTATTGTACTAGCTGTTTTGGTGGAAAATGAATCACTCTTCTAAATGTGAAGAGATCACCTCAAAATTAAGGCGTGTTACCAGAAACCTACATAGTGTATTTCTCCATGGAGGGAACAAGTTTGGTATTTTCCCAAACAGTTAACAATGTTTACAGTCCAGGAATTCAGTATAAAATGAAATAAAACTCTCTAGATTGGTAACTGGTGGCATGAAATAAGCTTCACATGTCCTGTGCTGTCACTGAGAGGGTTAAATGCTGGACCTTCCAGTTTACTGATTAAAACGTGGAGTGTCTTGGTTCTTGCTCTGTTGAAATACCTAGATAATTAGAGTCAGCACTCGTAATTGTTGACTTGCACAAAGTGAATAAGCAAACAAAATAAAGGAGCTTCAATTTTGACACTTTCATAATAATGAACTAATAAACTAGTTAATGAGACGTTAATGCAAATATTTGTATCTTTGTGTGGCAAGTCAGATTTTGGGGGGGGAGGGGGGGTGCACAATATATATGGGCCACAAGTGCAGCAATGAGTCTCTGTATTACGAAACAAAAATATATGCAGTGAACATGTTTAAGTAATAGAAGTACTTTTAAGCTTGGCTTCTTGCCCGCGTGTGTTGCCTGACTGCTACACATGTAGCTGGCCTGACAGCCTTCCATGCCTGGAGCTGTTGTTGAGTAGGTACTTACCTCCGAGTGTGTGTTTGGGGAGCCGAGCTGCTTCAGCCATAACCTCTTGATTGCAGCTGGCCTGCGGCATTTGCTGCTCCCGCCTGTCCCGCAGACTTGCTCGCGCAGCCATGCTCGTGAGAGCTGTGGAGGAGCATCACCCAGTCCAGCTCTGCCTCTGCTGCGGAGCCACCCAATGGCAACAAAACTGTGCTTTGCAGGTGCAGCCGGCTTCACTTTGGGGAAATACGGCGAGAATATCCAGCCCTTCGTAGCTGGCTCTGTGCACAGGGAGAGCGCTTCATGAGTATAGTACCGTGTTTGGCTTGTACGTGTCCGTCTGTCTGTCCTCAGGCTTCTGACCCTCAGCTCTGTCTAGCTGATGGCCTGCGGAGGCAGGAATAGGAGGACATGGTCAGTGCTTTGGCTGGTTCTGCAGCCTGAATAAGCCTTCCTGTCTGGGGGAAGCTCAACCTGTTTTTTTTTAAGTGAGCGTAGCACTGCAGGAGCATTAATGAGGGAAGGGCTGGCTGGTACGTGGTGATATACCATGGAGTTGGAAAACCAGCTAAGTAAAGAAAGGAGCAATTGGGCTGTAAGGAATAGTAACAGTCATGAAGGAGAGTGTCTCCATTTCCAACCCAGGAGTTCTTCACCAGAAATGTTTCATCTTTACAGCAGATAATTGATCTGTACTGGTCTGTGGACACATCAGGATCTGCAGCAGTTCACATGTATGTGGTCAATGTTACTCTGTCTTCATGCTCTATTAAATGGATCCGCAGCCCGTGTGTCAAGTAGATCGCTCACCCTGCCTTCAGACGAGAGCAGTCTTTCCAAAAGACAGGTAGCGTGTTTAGAGTTGCAGTGCCTCCGTTCATCGCTTGTAAGGGATGTCAGGTTCGCTCTGCATGGGCTGATTAATTGCCCGGTGGCTGCGCAGTCACTTCCTGGCCCCTTCTGGGACTGCAGAGCTCCTCCGGGAGGTGGCACGTGAGGGGAGGTGGGATTCTGCCAGAACCGCTCCTCTGGCTTGCGTGAGGTTTGCTCAGTCTTGAAGGGTGCTTGGGTCAAGAAAAGAAGGAAGGAAGCGTTAGGCTGGATCAAGCTGGCTGCAAGCCAGGATGAATTTTCCTTGTGGAGCTGGTGTGGCTCTCGGATGGTAGCTTAGTTGTCCTACTCCATGTAGCAACTATTTCTGCTGGTACCTCGTGGCCGAAACGGCTGCTACTGCAGCCTGCAAACCTCCTCAGCTCTGTCCTCCCCGGCCGGTGCTTGTCAGTGACGGCAGAAATGTCCCGCTCGCTGGGAGGCACTGCCGTCCTCGCTGCTGAAGGGCTGTCTGGGGAGGGCTGTCCTTACCATCTTGTACTCTTTCAGGCGGGTCGTGACCATGCCTTGGAATTCCCTTGTAGGTCTCTGGCTTTGAATGCCTTCGGAATTCCAGCCAGACAGACCACGATTAAGGGCTTGTGTGTTACAGTATCAGTTGTGTTTTACTGCTGCTGTTGTGGAAGGAACAGAAGTTTGACTATAGGAGTGTTTGGTATAATTTTTTTTTTTCTTATTTTAAAAAGTTCCACAAAATTAGCAAAGTTATTACTTCATACCTGTATGACTGGGATGGTGCATACCAGTACTTGAAATCAATGTGACAGATGCAGTCTGATTT